ATGAAAAAAACCGTCGCTCTATGGCACATGGCTCGCTATATCATGGATTTTTTACAAAATTGACCAATGTGACTTTTTAGAACCGATATGCAGAATCAGTTTGGACTTCTACACAATAATTATCGAGATGCTCCTCGGTGACGAAACGGTGACTCTCGAGTGTACCCCTGTGCTCACCACAGAGGCACAAAAAGCATATTTGAAAATTTGTGTGCTTGGAAAAACAATGCTAAAAGATAGACGCTGATTTCTCACTAGTTCAAGTAATTTCGATCGAACTTCTTCAAAATCCTTGACGTATTTATTCCTCCTCATAAGATGTTCGGTTCTTTTAGAATCAATTTCCGATGTTTCCAAATCGCCAATAAAGTAGGCTTTCAAATATTTTTTCGCGATTTCCAAGTCTTTATGGAAAGCAATGAAAGCTTCCTGCATCGGTGGTCATCATTTTGACTGAATTGGAACTACCGTTGCATCTTGAGCTGCATAGTGTCCAATGATTTTTCTTCCACCAGGATGCCGATTCTGCCATTTGGAAACATCATAAACTTTATTTTCCATCACGATCCATCTATCATGTTTGGATGAATGTTGTTCAATTTCGGTCCATGTAATTTTCCTCTCACACATTTTCGAAATGCTAAATCAATTTCGTGCAAATTTCAAGGTCAGGTCAGGTTGCACAGGGCTGGTGGTGGCCACAGGCCAGGACAGGACAGCACAGGACAGATCACAGGACTTGCGGCGGAGCCAGAAGCAGTCCAGTTTCTTGCACCAATGAGCTTGGGAGCACCACGGCGCTGCGACAATTGTATTATTTCGTTCACGCAGACGTGGGTGGGTGCGGTTCTGGAAAAGGAAAACGCACTTCTAATGGTTCCTCGGAGTGACAGTACACGTCTGAGGTTTTACCAGGATCAAAGCAACAGCTCGCAACTAACCGCTCCGAGCTACCCAGAGTAAAAGGTGTGTTGGGAGAAGAAGTATGTTCTAAAAGTGGTGGTGCTGTATGTTGAGACGTTTCAGTAAAATGTGGTGCACAGTGAATAAAAAAATTAAAAAAGAAATGGAGCTGAGGGAGTTGGAGAAATCAAAGTGAAGTATGAGATAAAGAGTTAAATGTATGGAGCTGAGGGAGTTGGAGAAATCAAAGTGAAGTATGAGATAAAGAGTTAAATGTAAGGGGAGGGGGACCGAGGCGGACGAGCTATTAGCGACCAATCAAGCGTCCAGAATTCCTTCGGTGGTGTGCTCACGAGTGTGCATCCACCTCTT